TTCAGTACCAATCTCAGAAGACCCCGGAGCATCGCCTGATGCAAACTTGGATGATTTAAATTTGGCTTGATCGTCCAGTGCCGGTCTCATGATTTCCCGTCCGACAGTTAAATCAGAGAAAATCGTCCAGAGCATCGCCTGATTCGAGCTGGCCGATAATTTATCATCCTGAAGTAACTAAGGTTTTTGAATAGATCATCCGCGGATCCTGCGATCATCCAGGATGATATGATCGTATCAATACCTTAATTACTCCCTTGATTTCCTGATCAAATAAGGCATAATTTGTGAATATCATCTAGGGCGATCAATGAGTCGGTCCTGGCGATAATTTAAATACAGTATACCTTAATTGTCTATGGTGGCAACTTCTTTATGTTTGAGCTTATCATCCTGACGATACACGTATCGTCCAGGATGATCTGTTAATGATCGGCTGCCTTAATTAAGAATCCATATTTAGACTTTTGTTTTAGCCTGATCGTCCAGGACGATGTAAATATCATCCCTGGCCGATATGAGTAAAAACAGGAAATTCTAATTCTCGTCAAGTAGTGTGTGTAGGGTTTCTTAGCATCAGTCTCTGTTATCATTACATGGACTCAAGAAGAGAAAAAAAATAAAGTACAGGACTGATCAACCTAAAACTTACGCAGTCTGAACTGGGCTTCGTTTGTTCAGTCCGATTCTGATCCTGAAAAATTAGAATAACATGCATCAAGAGAATAATAATGTTTGTCAATCATCAAACATAAGTATGAAAATAGATTTGCAACATAAGAACTCAAGTAGGAGAAAGTTCAGGCTCGTCTTTGAGCTTCACGTGAGGAGGGGGATCGGACGGGAAGCATGACAAGTAGTACGAGTTTAATGGCTGGTGCGTAGGCAAGTCGAGAGACTCTATAAGCTTCCATAATTTTCTGTGTGGGTTCCTCGATCGAGGCTGAGGAATAGGAGGCGTGATAAAATTATGAGAGGCACAAGACAGTAATCAGAAGCCCACGTGGGTGCTGGACAAACCAAAGGTGGAGGTGGACTGGGCCACTAGTCCAAGAGGTACTGCTTTGCTCAAGTAGGGGAAGACTGGCAGTGGTGCTTCTTGCATCTACATTTGGGGTTGTGCACGAGAGGATAGGAATCAAACAAATTTAGGTGCCACAATTGGGGAAAATTATTGCATCCGGTCACCGAATGTGGAGATAGATCTAGATATTAATAAAATATTATTTTAAATTAAGCACATCAAAAGTGCAGGTAAAGCACAGGTAAAGTTCAAGTAAAGCGCAGGTAAAGCACATGTAAAGTGCAAGTCAAAGGGCAGTCAAAAGTGCAGGTAAAGTGCAGTCTAAGCTGCAGGTAAAGCGCAGTCAAAGCGCAAGTAAAGTGCAAGTCAAAAGTGTAGTCAAAAGCGTAGGTGACGTGGCAAATTTTTATTGGATGTCCAAACCTATTCTCCACGTCCGGTGATCGGATGCAATAATTTGCCCATAATTGGGGTAGAGGAGAAAATAGGAAGCGCGACCCAAGGTTAGTTTAGTTAATTGAGGGATCGGGTGGCACAGTCACTTGGACTGGTTTGACTACATGAAGAATTGGGAGGGGGACTCAGCGCTTGTCGGGGATGTTTGATCGGAATAAAGATTGATCATCAAAATTTGAACAAGATCGTTGGAGCCTAAGATGAATTGAGCATAAATTCCAAAAGTTTTATTTTCATTTATTTTATACAACTAGTTGTCTTTGGAATGTTTTTGATGAAGTGCTGCTAGACGTGGGAATATGGGTATCAGTTACCGCCTGATCTTTTTGTCTTCTTTTATATTTCTTTCTTTTTTATTAAAAAAATTAAAAAAATTGCTTCCAAAAGAGTTTGTTCGGCAATTTTTTGCAATGAATTCATTGCAACATTCTTTGAACATCCAAATTTACCCAATTTCTTTTCTTTCCTCAGGTTATGGATTCTTATTGGATCAGGCCCCACTCGATGCATGGCATTGAGCTTTTAGAGAACCATATTTGGGAGGATATTAATTCATATAATTCTTCTTATATTACTTCCATTTGAGACCAGTTATTGTCGCATCAAGAGACGATGTTCAACAGGGACACTTTTGTTGGGCCATTTATTTGTTCACCTCAGCTAGCTGCTTTTGGCTCAGAGCTTCCAGTGTAGCATGATCCCGCTGATTAGGTCATTATCCTCAAGCTACATCATAGTGATAGTGATTCTCAGATGTGTATTGTTGAGGGATTGATTTGTAGAGAATAAGATGTTTTATAGTTTGTAGTATATATTGTAGAGCATAGTAGTACCATCAAATTGTTGAGTTGCAGTCTATCACATCATGAAGTTGAAGAGTAATATTATAACTATGTATTCGGTAGCCTTATTTGGATGCTGAGGGGTTATGTTTGTTGTTCCTAACATGTTTTAAGAGTGCATCAGGGAGTGCTTCAGCAAGTAGGGGTTTATAGAGTCATTTATGCCTCACTATTTGATTACAGTTGTCAATCATACTCTTAGCTTTAGGGGCTACCTGAACACTTGGACAGTGTAACAAAAACATATTGGATTGGGATGAATGAGATTGCAATCACACTTTGAGATCTATAGTTAATTTTTATCCTACCCATTTTGGGTATTTCTTTTTAGGAG